CGTAGGAATTAGTTACTGATGATTCTGAACAGAGTGAGTTCATGGGACTGAGACTTAGTAGTGCAGGCCCTGAAATAAAAAGCATGTCCTCCTACTGACCAGATCTTAGCTGAGAGATGCACAGATGGGGACCCAGACAGGACCCAAGCTATTCCTTAACAATATTGACTAGGCACTATTGCCTGGGCTTCAGCAATGAGAAAATGGACCCTGGTATTACAACCTACTATCTTTGCTTTTTAAGTATAAGTAAACAATTGTACAGAGTTCATATTATAGTCATTCCCAACAAATCCTTTTATCATCCTCATTTTCCCATTGTTGTATAAACCTATGGCTGAAGGGGTCCCTATCTGACTAAAAGAATCAAGATTCAGGTATCCAGTGGACAAAACCAGGCAGTGGCCTCTCAGAACCACTTAGTTTGTCACACATAATATACACAACTCAAGGCCGGGTACAGTGGCTCACACCTATAATCCTAGCACCCTGGGAGGCCAGGCAGGAGGATCACTCAACGTCAGGAGTTTGAAACCAGCCTGAGCAAGAGCGAGACCTCGTCTCTACTAAAAATAGAAAGAAATTAGCCAGACAACTAGAAATATAGAGAAAAAATTAGGTGGTCATGGTGGCACATGCCTGTAGTCCCAGCTACTCAGGAGGCTGAGGCAGGAAGATTGCTTGAGCCCAGGAGTTTGAGGTTGCTGTGAGCTAGGCTAACACCACAGCACTCTAGCCCGGGGAACAGAGCAAGACTCTGTCTCAAAAAAAAAAAAAAGATTGTTCATCATGCTCAAGTGAGATTCATCCCAGGGATGCAAGAATGGTTCAACATACACAAATCAATCGATGAGATACATGATATCAACAGAACAAAGGACAAAAACCATATGATCATTTCAACTGATGCTGAAAAAGCATTTGATAAAACTCAACACCACTTCATGATAAAAACTCTCAAAAAATATAGGCATAAAAGGAACATACCTCAACATTATAAAAGCCATATATGACACACCCACATCTAGTCTCATACTGAATGGGGAAAAGCTGAAAGCCTTTCGTCTGAGAACAAGACAAGGTTGCCCACTTTCACCACTGTTACTCAACATAGTACTGGAAGTTCTAGTTAGAGCAATCAGACAAGAGAAGAAAATAAAAGGCATGCAAACTGGGAATGAAGAAGTCAAATTATCCTTGTTTGTAGATGATATGATCTTATATCTAGAAAAACCTACAGACTCCACAAAAAAACTATTAGAACCAATAAACAAATTCGGTAAAGTTGCAGGATACAAAATCAACATACGAAAATCACTAGCATTTCTATATACCAACAGTAAACAATGTGAAAAAGAAACCAAGAAAGTAATCCCATTTATAATAACTATAAATGAAATAAAATACCTAGGAATAAACTTAACCAAAAAAATGAAAGATTCTGATAATGCAAACTGTGAAACATTGATGAAAAAATAGAAAAGAACACAAAAAATGGAAAAATATTCCATGCTCATGGATCGGAAAAATCAATATTGTTAAAATGTCCATACTACACAAAGCAATCTACAGAT